GAGGGGGCGGGCCCGTCGCGCGGCCGAGGGGAGCCGCCGCCGCCGCCCGGCAGCGAGCCTGCCCCCGGGCGGGCACCTGAGGGGAAGAAGGTCAACGTGGCCGCCGCAGCCGCCCTCCATTCCCCCGCCCGCGGCCGGTGAGAGGCGCCGGCGGCGTGAACCGCGGCCTGGACAGGCGTGTCGGCGCCGCAGCCCTCTGGGGTGTTCCGGCGGCTGGTAACGCCTGCTAGGGAAACCCCTCAGGGGAAGCCTGGCTGAAGCCGGCTGTCTGGAGAAGTGACTTGTCTGCGAACGCTGGTTCAACGGCAGGCTCTGCAGAGCTGCTTCCATCTTTGGGCTTCCGAGGGTTTCAAAGAGTTTGAGCCGTCTTTCACCTTTAAAACTACCTTTCAAATAGCCAGATGTATCTGGCAGATTATATCGCACTTTATTATAGTGTCATTTGTGCATGTCTGGGGTTTGAGTGTTTCCCTTGAAAATCATTTTTATGCTGTGTTACAAGGCTTAGGGGAAAAGGGGAAATTACAGTATTATTAAATAGGTAAATATAAAATAGTAAGTTACGGGAAACAGGAAACGCAGCATAAATACAACAGACAGCATTGTGAGGCAGAACTCATTTGTCCTCATCAGATCAGATGCCTTCATTACCAAATCAAATCTCTTGGTTTATGGCCAAAGAGTTAATGATTCTTATTCATCTTGAGATGTTTTGGGCTATTCAGGCACTCTGAATTGAAATGACTGGATCATTCCAGTCCATTCCAAATACTTAGACCAACTCTGAATAAGTATGGCAAACACATTTCTATCAAAATGAAATACTTTGTTCTTTGTCATTTATTCCATTCATCTTTGTCAAATATTTCCTCCCAGAAAGTCAATCTATTCATTGTATTTGACGGGGGGTGTCTGCCTAACATGGATACTTTCTTGGCAGCTCAAACAGCAGCTGAAGGCACACTATACTTCTTTCACATCCTTCCCACTGGTGTGTTTCATACCAAGCAGGGATTTTTTTTTTTCACAAAGCTTTTGCTCAGCAACGCTAATATTTTTATCAGCTTGGCTGCATAAAATACATGGGAGAAACCTCTGTGCCAACTGTGTAAGATTAAACATGCAGCCTCTTTTGCCGTGATTGCCTGCTTTGATACATAGCATTTATGCCAGGGGATCCCTGTTATTGATAAAATTGGGTTATTTTCACGAGTAGCTTTTTGTGGTTTGATTTATCGCTACTTAAGTGTGTGTTCTTGCTTCATGTACTGTACCTGATTCAAACCTATTAGGAAAATACAGTTTATGCATAGATGATTCCTAAAGATTAGGAACATCACATTATGTCAGGTGCTTATCAAGTATGCTGAGCCTGACTTGCTGTAGAGCATCCATTTGGGTCATGAACAGAGACTTCTGTTTTCCCTCTCTACTGTGCTATTTACTACATAAATATCACTTCCATGAGGTGGCCTGATGATGAAGCTCCAGCCTCGGAAATCAATAGTCTGCTCATAATTAGACCAAGTTTTTAATCTTTTCATCAATATAGCTGGCATGATCTTTCCTGAATTCCCGGCTGCTGCTAGCATGGCTCAGGGTCACTGGAGAAATGCGAGCTCCGCGTGGATAGGGCACAGGCAGGTCACACAGTAGCGCGATGGCCTGTGCGGGCATGGGGCAGTCTGCCAGGTACAGACAAATGTTCAAGGAACTGAGCTGCTGGAATCCTGAAGGGATTGGTGAAATCATCTGAATTATGAGCCTTGCAAAGATTTGCAAGTTGGCTGTACAGACAGTGAGATATCTATCATATGAGTGATATTTTTCTACTCAATCTCAAGGTTCTGCTCAGAGGAGTGAGAGCTTTCCAAGGCAAATCATACTCTAAACTATGTGTTTTTCCCCCTCCTAATGGCTGAAATGGACTTGAGTAAGATGGTTGTCCATACCACCATTTCATGTGTGTTGTTACACTGGAATTTTTATTAATTTTTTTGACGGGGGTAAGAAGCTATACAGATTTCATACTGAAACTTACAAATTTCTGCAACATGATTTCCATTTCACCCCTATTTACTCCCAGAACTGGCAGAACTGTTGTGTGACCTTTTCTCCAAGATGTAAGCTGAAGCAGGCATTCAACATGGAAGAAGGTTTTGGTCAAACAGAAGTTTCAGGACTGAAAGCAGGGTATTACACTGAAGAGTACTGGGTGACTTTCACAACGGGAACCAACCCTTCTGCTCCGGAACTTCTCAGCAGCAGTTTCTGTAATTCAGTTCTTCACGCTGGTAAGCCTATACCCCTCGCCCCCTGCACAGGAGAACAACTAACTTCACACCAGACCAATATACCGATTGAAATTCTCTAGTAGGTTCACTTTTTAGATTAAAAGAATAAAAGTGATCAAGTCCTGCAGCAGTACAAGGGAAGGGTATATGCACATTTCCAGTGAGTATCCACCTTTAAACTTTTTGGTTCGATGCAGGGTGCTGCACTTTCAATGTTCTGTGTGCTGTCAGCCAGTCGTTTTTTAGATGCAGCCTGATGGTTTTAAAGGCTTGGCTTTAGAATACTTGGCTGAGACCTGTGTGAATATTAGAGAAGTAGATGCTGGAAAACGAAATGTAGTATGGGACCTATGCCTAATCAATCCACTGGTGTTCCGAGCTCAAACACGTTTAAAAGAACGGATCGATGTGAACGTTTAAGTCTCCGCAGCTTCGCCGTTCGGCAGCCAGCAACCGACACGCCGGGAGGCCCCGGCGCTAACCTGCTCAGCCCCCGGCCGCGGTGGCCGAAGCCGCACGGCCAACCCGCTCCTCCGCTCCCGCCCCGCCCCGCCGGCGGGGGAGGCTGCACGACACTGTTGGGAAGGCGCGGAGGTGCAGTTTACGGTTCTGTCGTAAAGCAGCTCGCCTAGGCGAGTGTTGCTGCCGTCCTTGGGGGGTGAGCGGACATGAGCGGGAATGGCGGGAACAAGGCTCTGGAGCTGCTGCGGTCGCTGCCCAGGGTCAGTCTGGCCAACCTAAGGCCCAGTCCAGGTTCCAAAAAGCGGGTGAGTGCCTGCAGATTGTCGGATGGGTCGCGGGCATGCTTTCCTCTGCGGTGGCAGGAGTCTGTCTCGGCAGCGGGCACACTCGGCCCCGGTGGTGGTTGCCTCGAGGGCTGTCAGAAGGCCTCTGGGGAGTTTGCGGCCTGGCCAGAACAGGCGCGGGAAGTCTGAGGTGTGGGTGGCAATTGTTACCTGTGTTTGTCCTGTTCTTGTCCTTTATACGTCTTGTAAGCGGTGTGCGTGGCCGTTCCCACAGAGAACTGGCTAATGCGTGGCTTTAGCTAAACCTCAGGGCCATCGTTGGGGGCGGAGAGAAACAGTAAAGTGTAGAATATCAAATGTTCATGGAGTGAGGTAATTCATTTGTAAAGGAAAGATTAAAAGGCTTTAAAAGAAAAGAAATTTAATGCCAGCCTACACTTGTTACTATTGTTTTGTTAAAAGCAAAACTAAATAGTCTCTTCCCTGTCCTCTTCTAAAGTGATAGAGGAGTAAAAAAAGAAACCCGCCTGGTTTGGGGAAAATATTAGTGAACAGGGGTATGAGGTTCAAGGGCTAAAGTCCTAAGAATAGGGGACTGATAGGGAGCACTGAGCAGCATTTTTCCCTGTCAGTGGTCAAGACTCCCTGGAGATGCCTGTAGAGCTGGTGAGTGCTGCATGGTTGTAACCCCATAAACCTGTGGCAAGACAAGAGAATAGAGATTCTTCCCCCCCCTGCAGCTGTTGGGGTTCCCCTGTCAAGTTACTTCACTTGGAGCTAGGAACACCCAGCTTGGCCAGGGTGAAGTGGAGCTGGAAGAAGCAACCCAGTATGGTGCTGGAGTGGTGGTTCTTAAGGTTTTTCAAACTAATTCAGGCTTCAAAATGGTATTTTCAGGCTTAGCACCCAGAAGCTGTGAGGTAGTCTGAACTTGACGATTACTAGAACTGATACTTTCATGCCAGTGTTTGATCGCAGGACTTTTTGTTTTACAAGGTTGCATAGCAGTTGGGTTTAGGAAAACACTTTTTTAAAAATCTTGAAATAAGACATTTTTCTATGCTCACTGGGTTTTTAGCAAGTAACTTGCAACTCCATCTAGGAAATGAGCATGTATTCCCCACTGTTTGCCTCTAGTTAGAGTTTGTACAAGTGACCTCAGCTCTGTTTCTCTGGTATCTTTCTTTTGGTGTTTTGACAACTTTATCCCGGGATTAATGAAGTCTCAAATAAATAGATTTAAGATTATTTGACTTCACAAACAGAAATTGCAGAAAAAAAAAAGTTTTGATTGGCTACTTTGACAGTTTAAAATCTGGTCAATATACTGATTACATTCTATTTGTAACGAGATGTTGTCAGTAGGCTTGGGTTAACTGAAGTCACTATGGAATCTGGTGTGTGTATGGGCAACCGCCAGAAAGGGTGGGCCAGCTGTGCCCTCCCTCTGCCTCCAGGTGCTCACACCTGCTCTGTGTTTTGTACTGCTGCTAGAGGTTATGTGGTGAGCCAGAGCAGGGAACTAAAACAGCTGAAAACTAGACAGACAAAATTAGTTTTCATCTAGTTTAATTTCCTGACCTTCCAACTTGGAGCTGCACAACTGCTTGTGTCAGCACAAGAGGCACTGTGAGTAAAGAAGTATAGCATGTGCGCTGGGGACAAGTCAGCTGCTTTTGGTGGCCTGAATGGTCTAGCCTAGCATAAAAGCACACTTGAACTTTATGCTATTTAGTATTAATACAGGTAAGTGCTGCATCTTAGGTTAAATGATGTTTCAAATATATTAATGCATTTTTTTCTGATGTATGTCTGTACTTTTCTACTAATATTTCAGTGCACATTAAATGCTCCATAACTTTGGAAAACTTACAGACACAATAAAGAGCATAAAACACCAGATTTTATGTCTTTGTGGTGTTAGGCTAATAATCAAGTACCGTGATGTAATGAGCAGTTTTCAGACCTGAGTTTTACTCAATATTCTGTGCTGAAGTCTTAGCTGCATAGAGTGATTTGTAGGATTAGGGGTGCTTGAAGTCTGGCTGAGTGCTGAATACAAAAAATGAAAAATTGAAGAGACTTGCTGTAGTCTCTTTAATAATTAATTATTTACATGATTATTGATCCAACAGTGACTGTGCTGTGACTTAACCAGAGTTAACTTATGAGAAGTACAAATACTGTTTAGACTAATGCGTTATTTCATGTGTTTCCCAGACTGACTGATTCACACTGAGGAACACAATGGAAAAGAACAAATGTGTGAATTGTGTTGTGCAAATATAAGACTAGTTAGCAACGTGACATTGCTCCTTCCACAGGCCTTCACACTGCAGTGAATGTTAGCTTAAATGGGGAAAACTCTGTAAGATCAATAGATTCATCAAAGTGATGCACAAGATGTGGTTGTGCCTCTTGGAGCTGAACAGTGAACTCTACTATGTGCAACACAGCAGCAAGGAAGCTTGTGGCTCTGTCTTATCTCTGACAAAGCATAAAGAAATCAAAATGAGCCTTATTACTCCAGATTCTTCAGTATATGAATTAAAGTCACCTTACAGAGAAAACTGTTAGGTCAGAGTGAACTGGTACTGCTTCATTTAATGGCAGTCACTTCCAGCTCTGTGTCCAGTCTTGCTTACTGCCTGTTTTGTAAATCCAGTGGATATTTGCACCATTCAGTGCAATTCATGGATATGCAACTGCCCTGGATTTTAAATTTAAAAAAAAACTCAAAAAAACAAAAAGGATTTTACTTTGGCTTATCTCTTCGATTGCATTCATCGTTTAGCTGTGCAAATGCTTCTGCTGGCACAGATAGGAGGTGATTGCAAGAAGATTGCTGAACTTCTACTTAACAACTGCAATGCTACTTTAAAGTGCTCAGGAAACTAATAGCTTTGTATCACAGTCCTAATTTAAAAAATAATAAAGATTAAAATGCACTCTTCTCTTTGGATTTGTAGTCAGTAGAAATTGTTGCAGACTCTTTAGAAAGTCTGAGTCCCTGAAAGAGTTACATGTGTGTATAGCATATATAGTCTGTTCCCCTGCCTCTTGAAGTAGAATTGATTTTTTATTTTCTTTTTAATTCCCTTTTTCATTGTCAGTGTTCAGAAACTTCTGAACACTGAGCAACTCTCGTGTACTAGGAGGAAATAGCAATAGTTAATGCATGGAAATTCTCTTAACTTGGAGAGTGCACTGTGTAGGAGGTAGGATTAAATACTAGTATTGCTTTTATTGCAGTATATGTTCATGTAAACTTTCAGACTATTTGTGGTGCCTGCCTAGAGCTGTGCTTTTCAAAAAATCATATTAACTGCTTTTCTGTTTTTCTCAAGAATCAGCATTTTGCTCAGTTGTTAATATCTCTGAAATCTTATATATGATACTTGTCTCCAAAGTAGTTGGCTAAATGTATCATTGATTGTTTTCAAGGAAAGAAGACGTGGCCGTGGAAGATACGGAGGTAGGAAGTGTGGTCGAGGTCACAAAGGACAAAAACAAAGAGGAAATTGCCCCCGATTAGGCTTTGAGGGTGGTCAGACCCCATTTTACTTGGTCATACCAAAATATGGGTTTAATGATGGACACAGGTAAGTTTCTTCACATTTACTCAGAAATTAATCATTGCTTGCTGTTCTTGATCTTTCTTCTGAAGCCAGAATCTAATATGCCAAAACAGGCATAACTGAAAATGAGATATTCCTCTTGGATGGTGAGCTTCCTTACCAGCAGAATCTACCATTTCTTGTGAGATTATTTTTTTTTAGTGAATTCACTTATTTTCTGTTGTTTTACAACTCTGCTTGTTTACCTTTTTTTATTTTTCATAATCCCTCATTTGTAGCAGGCTACCCTTCCTCCTACAGCTGAGTGCACTTCTCTGCTGAGACCACTCCTCCACTCCCGCTTGTTTCTCTTTGCCTGTCTGCACAGCAGATAACCTATTGAACTAACTGGGAACAGTCCTGTTGACTTTTAGGCATGGAAGTGTAATCCAAAGCCTTGCTTTGTTACTTCTCTTCGCTTTATTCACCTGAAGTTCTGATTGCTGCTGGCCAAACAATTCTTCTTCTCTTCACAACTCTTCTTTTTTAGCCCTGCAACACTGCAGGCTTTGTCTGTACTCCATCTGTTCCACCTAGGATTTTAACAAGCTCTTTAATATCAAGTCTGCTGGATGAGGCCATTAAGTCATCTTTCACTATTGTTCTCCTCAGGCATTCTACCTTGTTTGGCACTTCTCTCCTCTTTTCACATTGTGCTTGTTTGTGCCATGTCCATCTTCCAGATTTTTAATGTTTAAGATTGTTCTTGTAACATGTCTTTTCTCCAGTCACTCTTCTTACCTGGAGAGCTGTATGCCATTGTTTTATTAATTTCCTTCACTTATACTGACAATTACAAAATACTGTGTTTTTTTGTTTAAAGCTGGTTTTGTTTCCTAAGGTAGTATGTATGTTACCTGGGTCACTAACCATTTTGTTGCTTTTAGGCGTGAACATGAGAACTTCTGTACCCGTGCAATGCTGTTACAGGCAGTAGTAGCAAAAACATGCCGCACCTATAAGAATGAGAAGACTAATGTGTATTTGTTTATGAATTGTTAAATTTGCAGTTTGAGTTCATGTTTCATTTGCTGATATAACTCCATCAAAAAGCTGTGCATTTTTATATTTCCATTCTTCATGCCTGCAATATAACTTACAGACCTGTCCTGGTTATTAAAAGTTTTCTCTATGAGTCTTAATAGTTTTGAAACTCTGTTTGCAAGTACTGTCATTTCTTCCTGTTCATTTATAATAAATGAGAGGCACTTGATAGCTGAAGACAGAGTGTAGATCCCCAGTCCTGCAAAGGAAATTCTGCAGAATGCAGACGCTGAGCTTATGTTAACAGTAGTCACCAGTTCATAAAAAAACAATAGCAAAAAAACAAGCTTCTGCAACGACAAGAAATTAATAGGGTCTCACTGGTTTTAGCCACATCTGACAACATGTGGAAACCAAAAAAAAAAAATACTTTGTAGTTTCTTTTTGTTGGTGTTTGCAAAATTTCAGTGTCTGTGGTAAATGTTTTCCTATACAACATTGTAATTGCACTTGAGAAGCACTGTTGTGGCAGGCTGGGAGCATGCTGAACAGTATCTCTGCATGTTTATCTTCACCTTGCTTTCTTTGTAGTGCTGTTCCTCTGCTTCTTGAACTTTTGCTCTGTTAGGAGCTGTCTGACAATGCAAATTCTGTTGCTTGTCTTTCTTACTTAGCTTGCCAATAACAGAGATAAGCTGCTTAGTTTTTCTGCTACCACTCACAAATTTCCAATAACAGTGATCAAACTGATTGTATGAGACATTTATGCTGATGCTCAAAGCTGGTGTACAGTAGGCATAGACACTGGGATTGGGAAAACTGTTCTGAGGATTGGTTTGTATAGTAAGGTTAGAACTTAAAAAAATGCAAAAGTAGATTCTACTGAAGCTGATGGCAATTGACAAAATATTCCAACTTCCTCTGGGAATATGGGTTAATGTATATTTTCACAATATCCCTCTTGGTCATATTTTGAGAAGGAATCCATTCAGTACTTCTGAGATGTCAGGTACAGCGGTAATGGACTGAAAAATCTACTTGGGTATAGGCAGCCTGTGCAGGAACATGTACAGCTGATAGTTTTTCATTAAATTTGTAGGGGAGAGAAGGTACATTGACTGTGGGTTTTGGTTTTTTTTTCCTCAGGTTTTTCTGAATGTATCAGTGAAGCTACCAAGCTGATAGCTTTGAAGCTTACTAAAAAATGCTGACACTTAAATTTCTTCATCCTTTTTGCTTTCTTAAACCAGTCAGCAGGTAGAGAGGTATTCAGGAGTAAATTGAGCTCAGCAATAGCAAAATTAATATCACATTGGAGGCGGGTGGGTGTGAGTAAACCTGAAGGCATAACGGAGTCTTGGGCTATAACTAGGGCATGTATTTGCATTGAATTAAACTTAGTGTTTTGGCTTTTGGATGGGTGTGTTTTAAACATTTACTTGGTAGTTTTAGAAGTAGGTAGAAAATGGAATACAGTGTGCTGTATCTCAGTTGACAAGTTCCTGTTAAAGCTTTTGTTTTGTTTTGTTTTTCATCTCCCTAGCCGCAGACGTCAGTATCAGCCGCTCAGTCTTCAGAGGCTGCAGTACCTGATTGACTTGGGTAGAGTTGACCCCACGCAACCAATTGACTTAACACAGCTCACGAACGCCAGAGGTGTAACAGTGCAACCTCTCAAAAGGGATTATGGTGTGCAGCTGGTGGAGGAGGTATGCAGACAGGACACTCATTGCTTCTGGCAGTACAAAGCCTGGGTTTTTCAGTTTTTCCATACCAGCATATCGAATTGTCTTTCCCATGTTTTGGAAGCATCTTTGGTTTTCTAAATGAGCTTGCTGTGGAATTTTTGTGGTAATAAATCCACTAGAGGGCACTGTGTGTTTGCAAAAAAAAAACCCATACCCACGGGATGATTGTTTTCTCACCTGAGAGACTACAAAAATGATAGTTGAGGATCACATAACAAGACGTTGAAGAGGTATTTTACAATAGAAGTCTGGAATGTACTAAAAGAAATGTATGACTGTTTTGGAAAGGCAAAGATTTTTCATTAAACCCAGGTGACTGAGTGAGAGCAATTCGGTTACCCATCTTGGTGCAGGGAGCAGACAAATCATAATATGTTGCAGGATTTAACGTTTCTTACAACTTTGCAGAGCAGAATAAATGTACGTTCTAAAATACTCATTTTAAGGTTACTCTGTGTTGAAATTTACAGGGTGCTGATATTTTCTCAGCAAAAGTAAATATTGAAGTGCAGAGGGCATCTGAATTAGCAATTGCAGCCATAGAAAAAAATGGAGGTGTTGTAACAACATCGTTCTATGATCCAAGGAGTTTGGGTAAGAATTTATTTTCATTTCTGCTCTTTTGGGTTTTTTTAATGTGCAAAGATTAAGCAATCCAATGAAAGTTTCAAATGTAGTTCTTAATGGGAAAACATCCTCTTTTTCCATTCTAGAAGATTCAACAACACATTGTTATACAAATGTTGAACTGTAATACATCTTCAGTTTTGCTTTTTTTAACCATTCACCTGTTAAGCCCTACCAGCATTAATAGGCATTTACCAATCAACCAGTTAAAGAAATCCAAGTAGCTTTGTAAGTAGAGGAACTAATAAAAGATTGTTTCTTTGAATTTTTGTCTTCTAACTTTCTCACGTTTAATAACACTAAGAAAATTCAGGGCAAAAAATAGATTTACAAAACACTGTGGATGTTTATATTTTTAATTTAAAATGCTTTTCCAGTTAAAGTGAGGAAATAGCTAAGTTACAGAGTTCAGAATCGTTCCAGTCAAAATGGCTATTGTTTTCAGAACACTTTCACTGAAGAATGAGGCTTTGCTTTGCTTGAGGCTGCATCCTGCCTAATATTCATTCACGCAGTTTTTATTGACAATAATGGAGCTTTCATGTGTGAATGAGGCTGAGAACAAGAGGAATAGACATTTTTAGTGTGCAAAATACATTACTCTGGAGTGATACAATCTCTTTTTTTCCAATCCAGAAATTAATCAAAATACTAATGTTAAAAGGATCTGGAATGTAATTTTCCAAATGCAGTAAAACTTGAGGAGGAGATGATAGTCTCAGAAGTGACTGAATAGGTGCCTGTGCCATTGATTCTTTATTTAAAATACTTATAGAAACACTAAATTTGACATTTGTTGGCACACTGTGAAAACAGCCATGCAAATGCATTGCTTCTAACCTGGAAGTCAGTCCTTTAAATAAATAAATAGCTTAGTTATTGTATCTTTCCAAAGTAGGCATTCTAAATATATTAGAAGCAATGAGTCATTCAGATCGTCACTATAAATATCAGAGTAAACCAGAGTTAAGTGGTTAAGCGATACTTGTAAACCACTATCTCATTCTGAACAAGAATATTCTTAAGATTTGGGTTTTTGCTGGATACTTTTTAATAATTTATTTAGCACAAAATACTAAATAAAGTGTAATTTATTGTCTTTATGTATTATAAAGCATAGTATCTAATTTTCTCTCATGTTTGCCCACAGAAATTTTATGTAAGCCGGTAGTATTTTTCCTGCGCGGCCAGCCTATTCCAAAGCGAATGCTTCCACCCGAAGATCTTGTCCGTTACTATACAGATGCCAGGAATCGTGGGTACCTGGCAGATCCATCTAAGGTTGCAGAAGCCAGGCTTGAACTTGCCAGGAAATATGGCTATGTCTTACCAGACATAACTAAGGATGAGCTCTTCAAAATGTTAAGCACACGCAAGGATCCTAGACAGATATTTTTTGGTCTAGCTCCAGGATGGATTGTAAACATGGCAGACAAGAAAGTTCTAAAACCAACTGATGAGAAGCTGTTAAAATACTATAGCTCATGAGTTCAGGACTGGAGGACAACAGCAGGTGTACAGGAAACATCTGGGTATGAAATAATGGATATGAAGTGGTGTTTGTTATTTTTTTAAGACTCCTGTTGTACTAGACAAAACATAAATTTTTGTTTATGTAATCTTCTGCTGTAGCTCTCAACTTTTTTTATTGTCATAATATGAAAAGTCTTAACACTTGGAAATGGTATAGAGTCTGACATGAAGTATGTGTTGGGGCGCTTTCTCTTGTGATGATTTGCCAGATATTTTTTCAGACAGAATGTTTCAATGTTGCATTTATTTCAGAGGATGATTCCAAGGCTTAACTTGATCTAATAATTTGCGGTTTGGGTTTTTTTTTGCCTTCAATTTGAAATCAGAAGCATGGCTGTACAAAACTTAGTTTTACAGTCGTGTGATATAACACTATAATTTATGTTTTAGAAAATGGTATCTTGAATACCTCTAAGAAGTGGACCACCTATATTTGGATGGGGAAAATTTAAACACAACCAGAAATAACAAAGTACAGAAGAATTAATTAAGCTATTCAATTCCATAGCAATGTTTTGGATTTTGCCACTGCCATCAATGGCTCTAGAGCTTGAGAGGTCTTGATTTTTGTCTTATTCCTTCAGATAGGATTGAGAAAGACAGGGTGTGCAGTTTAAGAGAACTTTCTATCTAAATTTAGGAGAAAAAACATCTAAAGTCAGTGGCTTTTATTGTTCAAACAATTTAAAATTTGTCCAGACACAAATGTAATGTCATTAATAAAAATGCATTTTTACAATGTAAGAGTATTCTTGGTTTCAACAGAAGTTTAGGATTGGGCATTTGGGATGATGAACCAAGCAGTAAATTGAAAGTTGAGAGAGGAGACATAAATTAACCTATCAGAACTTGCTCTGACTCCTCAGAAGTTAATGAGATGCTTCATAATTAATGGAAGTTGAATTTGGCTTTAAAGCAGGGATAATTTGGTTATTAGGATGCAGGAAACGGTCCAGAAGAGCGGAACATGAGAAATCTTGCTTTCCAATTTTCAGGTGCCTTTGGAAATGCTACTTACAGTTTCCTGTAGCTGCAAAACCATCTCATCTCCTAGGGAAAGCCATCCGAGTGCCAAAATCTCCTGTTTCTCCTGTATAACACCTGTATTTTGCTGATGTGCCTCAAGGAGGGGGAAGAAAAAAATTTTAAACATTTTCCTTTCAGAGAATAACAAGAAGCAGGTGAAGTTTTTTCATTGGTGTTTGTCAACCAGCCCAGATTTTTGCTTCACTCAACCAACTACCTTGTCAGTTAATATAAGCATCTGTAATTGCAAAACAAAATAAAAAAAAAAAATTCTGTTCTCATGCTGATTGAATAATCTGAAATCCAGAGATTAACAATGGAAAGTCACTAATTTTTGACAATTTACTCTTCAGCTTCTGTTGTTTGTTGTTGATGTGTGTTAGATGCTATCACTAATGGTGGTTCTCCTGATTTGTGGTTTAAGTATAGGTGAAACATAGCAAAACAACACCAATATAAAATTGGATTGTGAATAGCAGGAATTTGGTCTTATTGGTGTTAACATTCATATTTTATAAGGTGCATGCTTTTTTGAATCATTTATAATGCTTTTTTGGCACATTAGAATAATACTGTATGCCAAAAAAGTATAGCTAGTGTTAACTTGAATGTGAAGCAAATAACTTTCTCACTTTAGATGTATCCTGTTCTGCATCCTGATGATTGTTGGTTTGGAACCTTAAATGACAAGCAATACTTCTTTTTTCTTTTTTTTTTCTTTTTGTTATTACAATACTACTGCCTCCATTTGGGAAGGAGTTGGGGGGGTAAAGAGTATTTATTGCCTTCCCTTATTTGTGCCATAATGTTTCTGTTTTTATGAATCAATTCACAATTGTATTTTGTGGAGGTGGTGGTACTCAACAGGAAAGCTACTTAACTGGAAGCTAAGAAGGAAGTTAGTCATATTAGTGAAGACCAGAAGACAAAAGTGTTTATGTATCATTGTGTATTTTGGGGGAGGGAAGGCAACTTTGTTTCCACTCCTGCTCTTTGTATTAAAATGAACAAATTGCTCTCAGCAATTTTTTTTTCTAAATCGATTTCTTTGATATACACACGCATGCACACGCTGGTTTCTTTAGGTTTCTAAATGGTTTTCAGGTGAAAGGGTAACTCGGATAAAATGATAACAGTGAAAGAAAGAATGAAAACAGGAAACAGATGTCTGGTGACGTTGAGGGATTGGATAGCACTTATTCAGTGAACGACGTCTTAGTCACAAGGCAGCTGTATCCTGGCTCTGATACTATAACGCTACAAATACCTTGGAGCCAAAACAGCCACGTTCCACAAAATCCGGTCATTCTACTTTATAAAGGTGATCTTTTATCATCTTATAATTGGAGAGGGCAAAAAGGGTTGTATGTTGCTTTATTTATAACATGCAATGCTCGCCTTTTTTTCCTCTCTTCTGTTTACAGTAGCTGGTATTTTATAATGGTTGTTCTGATTTTTATTTACTAGTGAAAAAAGTGACAAGGCTATAGAGGATTTCCTGTTCCCTTTATCTCGTCAGGAACAAGTCTCCTGGCAACCAAATACAGAATTATCAAAAGCACAAGTAAGTTATTGACAAGGGTTCTAATAAATCTGTAATAAACAGCTTCCCAGTGGACTCTTGTTTATATGAGGGTCAGGCTCACTGATGTAAGGCTCTAAGCCAGCACTGGCATCTAAGGCCATTCTCTTTATTTAGGAGTATGTGCCATGTTTTCATGTTCATAAGATGAATGATTGCCTTGGATATCCTGTTTTGATAATGGTTTTTCATATGCAACAATGTATTACATGGTAAGAAGCACCCAATCTGGTGTAACCGGAAAAGCATTATCAAGTAACTAAGGAAAAGAAACATTTGTGCCATAAAATACTGAAAGCCGTGTCAATTTTTGTCAACAACATCATACTTTGGAATGGTTCCTTGATAAAACTGATTACATATGTGAGACTGAAATAAAAATAAGAGCCTCTGAATGAGTACACATCTTGTTGTATCATACCTTGATAATTAGAAATCACCTATTTCTTATGAGATTGACTAACAGCAGCCAGTCAATACTATACTTACAGGTGGCTGACTACAGACTTGGAGCAAGTTAAAATAGATGCATTTTCTTTTTTACTTATATGTACAACAAAGACAGGCTGGCTTTTAATTCATTGTACTTCGTATTACAGTATTTGTGTTTAACAACTAAAAGTTGACTCTACCATTCACTCATTTCCAAAAAGGGATAAATGAATAAATCAGTGGCCCTGATCTGAATCTTCGCTGGCAGCGTGCCAACATTGTTTTGACATACAAGCACAATTGATGTTAGTGTTCCAGGAAGTCATATAAAAGTGATCAATTATGAAGATAGCTTCCCATTGCTATTTTATTATTTGCTATTTTATTATTTTCTATTTTACTGCTAAAATTCAAAATGCTAATGCAAAGCTAGTTTTGCACTGTTGAGTACTTACAAGTTCTGTAAAAAATTGTCTCTTAATTTGAAATTGTTGCACAAGCTTTGTATTTTAAATACTTAAGTGTTATATTTACATATATCTAAAATAAGAAAGAAAACAGCCATTTTGGACAGACATGGCATAATGTTCCATATGCAGATTTATTTCTTCAATTTTCCTGATAGATGATCAGATGGGAATAGTTTTACATGACTCACAGTCTGTGTTTCAGTTTATTGATACGGTTTAGACTATGAAAAGATGTAGTTAGAAGTCCAGGTGTGACAGAACTCTTACCCATTAAGAGGAAAATTATGAACTTTTTAAGCTTCTTCATCTCCTAGCCCGGGTGACCCATCTTGGTGTTTTGTAGCAGAAATATATGGCATTATCTAAAGAATTATTGGTTTCTCAGTGGAAGTAGACTATCCTCAGATTTATTCTGTCTCCTTTGGTTAATATTCCCTCGGTTGCATTTGCATCTTCCCAAAGCCTCTTCTGCTTCTCCCGTTGCAGTGGTGGGAACTACAGGGCTCAATCATTCTCACAGTGTCATCCTGTCTGGCCCACTCTGCGTTTGAAAATCTGGTTGTTTTATGTGCCTCTGGAGCAGGAAAAGTGTTGATCATTCTTGCATCTGTTTATACGAGGGGGTTTTTCGTGGCTTGAGCTTCCTGGACTGGTGTTGCTTTTGTTGTTAAAAATGTCAACAGCAATGTTGTTTACTTGTTAACCTTGTAGATTCCAAGACACAGGCCAACTGGGTTGGAGGGCCCTTTGAGCAATGGATTCGGAGTTTATTCAGATCCAGGGAGCACTTCCAGAAGGGTGTCTGTGCACTTAATTCAAAATTGCACCCACAAGATATGTCCAAATGGATAGATAATTTTGTGTTCAATGCGTCGATGCCGAAATCATCTTTCTTTGCATTATTGGGAACATACTCTTTGAAAGGTTCATTCTGTCTCCACATAGTATTGTCCTGTCTGGTCTGTAATCTATAAATTTGCCTGAAAGTCTATGTTAATATTTTTATTATTATTCTTTGGGCTGGTAATGACAGCTAGAGGTTTGTGTACGTAGAACAGTCTATCAAAGATAAGTTGATGTGTAAAATTACAGTAAACTAGCTCTCTGGATTTAATTTTTTTTTTTATTCTGGTGTAGTTTGCCTTGTTCCCAATGTGGAATACCTTCAGTTAAGAAAATAAATTCGCTCATAATATCTGACAAGGGAGATGCTTTATTTACTTTGAACGTAGCTGGGGTTCAAAGCTTCAAATGTTAGAATCCAAGTTCCTTATAAAATTAGTATAGCAAGGTATTGTCTTCATTTCAAAATTAATGCAAGTCTAAATTTACATTGCTCACATATAGACAATTGTTTAAGCTCATTTCTTAGTAGTAATGTGATTGGTTGCTATAGTCAGTGGAGCCTGGAGAATCACTGTTTAGCCTGGAGCAGGTATTTGAGCAACCAAATTGCACTCTAGGCTCCACTGACTGTGACAGTAGTTTTAACATATAGCATGCTTGTATACACCCAAAGTTGGACCAGATGATCTTCAAGGTCTTTTCCAACATAGATGATTCTGTGAACTTAAGTATCTGGAGCTGAATCCCACTCTGTATTTTCAGTGCCCTGAGATGCATGAAGTTAATGGTTGGGCGTTCTCCTTAGGGATCCACATTTCACCAGTGTGGATTGCCTAACTCACCATCAGGAGCTTCTGAGGCTTGATGTACTGGGTTGTATGTGTCTCTGAAAATAAGCATTCTGATGTAATAAAAAACAAGTCAGAGGACATCTTGGTGTCACAAGAGGTGAAATGCTAGCAATCAGACAATCAGTGTTATTTTACAGCTATTGGAGACAGCAGCTTTTTCAGGTTATAGAAATCAGTGGCATACCCACTGGGAAGCCTGTGCCTCAAGGTGGATGACTCCCAGTTCCCAACCTTGCATTGGTATTGCCATTCAAAATTTGCCTGCCTGCCTACCTTTGGCCCTTGTACAATACGTTACTGATGTTTGTGCTAACTCTAATGTATGTGTTTCCTCTGTAAGCAAAGCATGGAAATTAGTCACCTGAATTTGCAAAAGAAAAACTGGGAGAGGACAGTAGTGCCCTTCTGGGGTGTCTGCATCAGCAAGTGCTTGGTTAGAGAAGGTAATTGAGATATTTAAACATAGCTGTTATCTCACTGCGAGAACATGCAGTTCAGTGTGTCTCCTAGGGTCCCTCCTACAACTACTGTGATGAATTGTGTTGTCTGTATAAAAGACAGATTTGGGACTGATCCCTACAGATTTAGACTTGCTATTTCTCCTGTTTTCAATGATTCTGGGTTCCCAAAACCTCATAATGTATTTGGGTTTAGTGAACAGACAGTCAGTCAGCCCTTTTTTTTTTTTTTATTTATTTTTTTTATTTTTATTTTGGCAAGGCAATTGCGCTAATCACCACAGCAGGCAGTCTGAGTATGGGCCATGTACTAAGCTTGAGACTGTTCCAGTCAAAATATTATTCTACTGGTTTTATGTTGGACTTGGCTGTTGGGACATTGCTGCTGCACTGACTTCTAGGACTTGTGAAATGTCTGGGCTAATTGTGACTTTGTTGTTGAATTTTGTTGTTACTGTTGGTATTGGAAGGCTCCAGCCCTTCCAGGTTCATCGTTAAAGACAGTTGTTTGTTGTGGAGTGACCATGAACTGAATTACCCTAGGGAGGATGTCAACATGTTGCAAAATTCTACCTGGGTTGTTATCTGAGGGAATCCAAGCACTGGGGTGCTATGATTTTTTTGTTTATTGTGGAAAAGCTTATCTGTCCATTAAGAGGACCTAAAAGAAAAAAAATGGAGGGTAAAAAGCTGTCAAGTAATTTTTTCTGTTTCTTGTGGAAAGTGCTTGCTTTTTCCCAGTTCTCAGCAGAGCTGAATGACTTTGCTTGCAGCATATTAGGAAACTGCAATGGTGGCAGACCACTGTGAGCACTGACATGCTGCTGTGGTACTGTACTTGGCCCTAGTGAAAGAAAAGATGATCTGTGCAGACTTGGGAACATGAGCATCAAGGTATGAAAGTCTCCATCTGGAGAGATTCCAAAATCAGAAATGTACCAGTATTCTGCAAACACCACTGAAAATGCTGCATGTTTAATTACTCTTTGTTTCTGCTGACTGTACTGTTCTGAACTGTAAGCATTCAATAAATTATTTAAAGATTATTTTAGGTTTTCTTTGTTGTCCTTAGAGTTTTCAGCCCTGCAGGGATCTTGTTTCCAAGCATTGTTCCTGTAACCAGCAAGGCTAGAAGCAGATTTAAGTGGGAGCCAGCATTTTCATGTGATGGCATTATTCCAGGGACTGGTGCTTTAGGATAAACAGTAAATACTGTGAGGCTTGCAAAACAGTTACTGATTCATTGCTTCAGAGTATATCTCCTCCGCTGTCTCTGCACTTCACCTCCAGTCACGTCCCCTCAGCATGGGAGAAACATGTTGTTGTTTCCAGCATCCAAACCTGAGGGTAGTAATTATTATATTACCAGGTACATAAGCATCCCACACAAACAACATGCTCCGCTGCTCCTTTCCCCGAATTACAAGACTGTTGTGGTCATTTGTGTAGTACTGAGAGTTGCATCTGCTCACCGGGGTGGGGAGAAGGGCCAGTGTCCTTCTGGCACGGGCAAGGCTGACACCTAGTGACCAGATGCATTTATTCCTGTGGGAATTCACTCAATTCTGGTTCAGTCACTGTTTACTTTTTTTTTTTTAAGCTCTTTCCTCAGTCTGGAAGGTTTAAACTTCAAAGTGAATAGTTAATTTATTTCATCACCACTCTTGGCCCTTGTTTTTAGTGTTTCTAGTGGTCTCTTCTAAACGTGAAGTTAAGGTAGCTTGAAAGCTTGTTCAAGCTGAATACTGGAACCACAAATGTTTTGCACTGTAGTCTCCTGGGAGCTGCACGTTGCAGCTGCTTTGTGCAAACTGTGAGATGGCTGTTAGCAATCAGTGGAAGTTCAGAATATGGTCCTTTTGTGGTCTCTCCTTCATAAAATCATGGCTGACCTTGGTAGTTGCATTCTCTTTGCTCATCTGTTTTAGAGAACATCCCATTACATTTGATTTTGGATTCTTTGAGTTGCAGAATTTTCTGTCTTCTGGTGTCTGCTGACCAGGGGTAGCATCTTAAAATGACACTGCCACCTGTTCCATCATCATTGCTGATCCTGATGGAAATGCTTTGAATACTGTGCCTTCGTGAACTCTCTGTTAAAGAGGAAAAGTAAAACCTAGCTAAAACACTTCCAGAATGCTTCTGATTTTAATTTGGTTATCTAGATTAACATTTCAGGAGTATAATATGAGAATTTTATGTGACCTTTATCAAATGGAGTAATCATATACATTTGGGGAAGCAGCCCCAACAATGTAAACCAAAGCAGTCGTCTTGTAAGAATAATCATTGACTCCAAAAGTAGATTGCAGAGGTTCTCAGTGGTTCTCCATGTTAATGGCTTTCACTCAAAATCATATACTGAAGCCCAGTGAAGCCTTCTCAGAGCTGTCCTTGGGACTGGAGGAATTTTGTCTTTTAAAAGTCTTTTTATCATTTATATGTTTTTTTTAAATATAAGTAATAAACGTTTTGGTTAATTCAGCATGACTCTTTGCTATTAGCCCTGTGTTTGGCTACACAAAGAGTCAGAGCTCAGTGTTTTTCTGTGGCTGAAAG